GGTGAGTGAAGCAGATGGTGTGGGCTTTGCAGTTGAGCTTGAAGCGAAGTATAGAGATGTCTATTTACAGATGTAAACTAACATGCAGTATGCTGGGGATCTCGAGTTATTAACCATTTTTAAAAACAACCTTTTTGTTCAGGAAAAAATTACTAATATTTTGACTTGTGATGTAAAACTGTGCCATTATTGGCTTGATGAACGCGCATGTACGAATGTTGTAGGTTTGTAAAAAAATTTATTTAATATAAGTGTTAGTGTGTTGTTTTCATGCTAGCGTCACACTAAGGAAAACAGTTACTGGAGACCGTGGCACGAGTGAAATGTGACTGTTCAAAGTAATTTTGGTACGTCAAGACAGCGGTAAAACAGCATGAGGTTTGGCAATTACTTATAGTCTGTTTGTGATAACACAACAGTTAACCGATAAATCATGAAAAATCACAAGTCTGTTTCCACCTGTTGCAAATCTGTTACCGTCCACATGTACACAAATTCACTACTCACATTCAGAGTCCAGCCAGAACCAGCCATAGATTTGAAATAGAAATTCAGAAATTCCTCCACAAATGGTGACATAATTGCTACAAAAAAGATGATTTAACTGAAAAATTATATAGACACTTGGCAACCTTGCTTTTATATAGGGATGTAAGTAGAGCAACCAGCTAAATTGAGTCCTATAATGCAAAGAGATGTGTTGCAGACAAGTTGCACTCCTCAGTTCAGACAGACTTAGACTGATTGCAGATGTCTTGGCAATCTGTATGAGAGTGACTGCAGTCGATCTGAGTCAGTTCTTCGTACAGTCAGATAATTTTGTGACATAATGCTCCTCCCACCCCTAAATGGACCCCTCCCCCCAAAATAAATAAATAAATAGAAAAATGTAAGATTGCTTCACCATCTTTGTCCCGTCTCCTGCCTTAACCAACGTCTGGTAAATGTAGTATGCATTTTTTTCCACCCTCTGTCTTACAGCTACAGAATAATGCAACATGTTCACAGAAATATGTGAATTTGTAACACCTAAAACAAAGATCAGCACATTTAACAAGTCTCTTATTAAATGTGAAGACACAACATCACTGCTAACTTTTTCACTACAGGTGAAACTAATAGTCATAGTACCCCGCTCCCAAAAAACAACTACAAAAATGCTAAAAAGGATTGATGTGATGTGATTATTGTAAAATGAATAGATTAACAGACAAAATGTAACACGCCAAAAAGTATTTTCCATTGTTGTGCGCCAGCCTCCAAGCCAGGCAAAATGGTCTAAAGTTTTGACCATTGTAGACATTCAATGTAAAATAGCTGAGGTTTGAGAGTAAAAGGTTAAAGAAGCCGGCTTACTGAGAAGCAACAAAAAAGGGGAGTAATTATAATGTGTCCATATGCGTAGGTGTCTCCCAGTGCTGTAACTGGGTTAAACTGATATTTGGGTTTGCATAATGAGTCCCCATCCACCTGAGACCAAGAGAAAGAGACCGACTGCAGGCTAACTTCCAAAAGCTCCTTAGTAAGGTGAATATAATGAGGTGGAATTAATGTGGAGGAAAAGAATATGATTAAAAGAGAAGGAGAGGGGTGGAGAAGTAAAGAGACAGGGGAGAGAGTAAGGAAAGTGTATACTGTATAGAGAGATGCAGCGAGGAAAAAAAACAATTGAACGATGCAGAGGAGGAACAAAGGGAGTGAAAATATTAATGATTAATGAACAGAAAAAGGCGGGTGACAGAAATAGTGTAAAAAAATGAAAAACACAAAGTTTGGAGGAAGGAAGGGGAAAAAAAGAGGGCGCGAGAAAGTCAAATCAAACAGCCTGAAAACACTAGTGACACGTCTGGGAATATACGTGCACAGGGATGAACTTGGAGTTGAGAGAAAATTAACATGACAGCTGCACACATGAGAGTGAAGCAAGGAAGAAGAACAGCGTAAGGAGTGATATTCGATATTTATTTGGAGCTAGCAGTTAGCAGCAGTGCATGCAACAGAAGCTCTTCAGCTCTAAAAGTATTGATGTAACATGTAAGGCCAGCTGAACGGGAGGCGATTAAGAGAGATTATTTATATTATGGGTAAAGGGGTGAGGATACAAAAGACTGGCTGGCAAGTTAGCAGAAAAAGAACCATTAAAGAGAAAACCAGAAGAAAGACAAAAGTTGCCTATCCACGTTTTGAGATTAGTCACCTTCCTTCAAATCTGCTTCAATATTTCTTCAGATTTTTTCTGTACATGTAGAAAAAACTTTTCTCTTAATTTTTTTCATAAAACTCAAATATTTCTTTAAGATTAGGAAGAACTTTTGTAATGTAAAGCAAACACCAGCGACAGAAACAGTAAATTATAATCAGGCAGCATCTTCTAAGGCTGAGACGTGAAGCTGAGAGTGAAATGCAAAAAAAATCAAATTCAATAAGTTTCTATTTCCACATACGGGTCAATGCCAGTAGACCCAATGATGAAACGTCTGGAAGGGCACCTTTCTCTCTTTATAGAAAAAAAATGTGCTCAAAGCCTGACAATGAGAAAACAAAGTTTAAAGCATTTTTTTATGAAAAATCTACTGATGTGTTTTTTTTCTTTCTTATAACTCATTTGTTAAAGGATCAAAATTATGAAATGTGTTTTCAGTTTTCTTGTTTCCTGTTTTTTCATTAGCCAAACTTCAGTGTAGTGAATTTCAGCTTTACTCCCTCGTCTAAGTATGGCCAAAATGATAAACCCGAGTCCACAAATTAAATGGTGCGCTTTTATATCCAGTTTATGGTTACAATACAAAACTAACTGGAAAAGTGAAACTGATGGAGAAAACTCATCCATCCGCCCATTCATTCATTATCTTAACTACTTAGTCCTCTGTCACACAGGCCTACAGACTGATTGGTTACCCCCTCAGGGATTCCTTGACTAGTTTGCAAGTGGTTGTTAAAGGTTGCAGGCGATTGCTGCAACCTGTAGCACCAGTTTTAATTGGTCACAAAGAGAGTGGTGCCTCAAAAACCTCCATGTGATCACTTTGGTTGCTAGCAGATTCCCATAGGGAAGTGTAGTATGTATGAAAAGTGCCATCTTGTCAAACATTCACCTTTAACTCTTTCAGCTGTAGTGAAACTTGGAAAAAGTGCAACACAGAGAATGGAAAACATTCGCCTTCACCAAGTAAAAGTTGCGCGAACGGCACTAGTTTCACTTAAGACAAACATTCTCTGAATGATGGAGATTTTGCGAATTTCACAGAGACAATCACAGCAATCACTCACCTACAGGTCAGAGAATTACCATTTTTCCCCTTTGACTGGTGGTTGCCATATGGTTGTTGAATTTCTAGGTCTATGAGACTGGGGCTTCATGCAGTTTGGGTTTGGGGGAGACCCTGCAACAGATTGCCAGCTTGTCACAGGCCTAAATTAGAGAGATGGACCTCAATCAGCCAGTTTTAAATCACATGGAGAGGACACAAGCAGCCAAAAGGGGTTTCATTCAGTCTCAACACAGAAAGACCCCAACAGACCAGCAGATTCAAACCCAGGACTTTCTTGTTATAACACAGCACTAACAGTGCTGTTCTGTAGAAGTATAGGATGTGATTAGGTTGCCATTCCACTCTTTAAAAACAGACAAGCAAAATGGGTCACAGTTGTCACATATCAGACTGATTTTGCTTTGTAAGGAAAAGCAGCAGGCTTGAAATGAGATTCATGAGATTGGTAGTATGTCGTGCTTTTTAGCCGAAGATGCCTGATTGCTAGGTCAGACTACCTCAGCACATGAGAAGAAATAAATAAATAAATATAGCAGCTTACACCCTCCCACGTCTGTGAAAAAAAAATTCAGGAAAGAGCATCAGGTGTAACACTCCAAAGTCTTCTGCATAGACTGCTACCACAGCAGCTACCTTTAGAAGGCAGAAGTAGGTGATGAAAAGTTATCCAAGAAAGAAAAAGTGATGAAAATGCTCATGATGCTTGAGGGAGTGAAAGAGGAGTCAGTTTGACTATGTGGAGGATATAGTGAGACAGCCTCAGGCCTTGACAGCATGGTAGAGGAAGCAGAGAGGCACTGCTATCCCTGTAGCATCCTGCACCAGCCCGCAAGCTAATGCTAACACCTTGACTTATTAACTTGGAGCATGCACTCAGACTCGGCACACACACACGGATGCCTTCACACTGAGACTCAACCACACACACACACACACACACACAGCGTTTCCACAAACTTAATATGCGTGCACTTATTTACTGTACACACATGCGCTTTCATTATCATTACATTTCATCAGCACAATGAGCATTAAAAATTGAGACTGTTATAGAATGAATGCTGCTTAGAGACAAATCAAAGTTTAATAACGGCAGAGGGAGAAAGAAGTAGATGCGCACTCTGAATAATTCCCTTTCATGTGTGTGTTTGTGTGTTTTGCCCTGGTGCTGAAGTTAGCTTAATGGGTCTCGTCTAACTGACAGCGCATCTGACCTGCAAAAGGCCTCCTAGAAGAAACACACCGCCTCTCTGTCAATCACACACACACTGAAACAAGGTTCTGCATGACGAAGCAAGGAGATATCTGCCTTCTCGGCTCCTCACTGTCTGTGCGTGTGCGTGTGTTTGTGAGAAAGCATACAGCAAGTATGACTATGTGCGTGTTGCTGCCAGCTGCTTCAGACTAATTGGCCGCTGTGAAAAATGAGATCTAATATGAAAAATTGCAGCCATGTTGATTTATGTCCATTTGAGTTCTCGGACTGTTTAGAAGCCCACAGGATCATATGCAGAAAACACAATTGGAGAACGAGAACTCTTGTAACTGCTTTTACTGCAGTAGAGAGTAATTCATCAGTGTTTTTGCCTTTTGTCAAGGTGTTACAGACTGTAA